CTCCCGCGCTCTCTGCCGCCCGCGCTAGACGCACCCAGACACTGCTCCGCTCCCGCCGCGGTTACTGGGCCATGGGTCTCCCGCCCGCCCCGACCCCCAGCGAGGCCGTTCCGTCTGCGGCGTGACGGGCGGCCCAGGTGAGGCCCGCGTGGACGGGGGCGGGTGGGCACTGGTCCCGGGGAGGGCGTGGCACGTGCCCGCGGGGCTCGGGCGCCGCCCCCTCCTCTCCTTCCCCGCCCTCCGCTCCTCCCTCAGCCTTGGGGGCTCTGGGATGCCCCGCCAGCTGCCGCCTCCCTGACCGCCCCCTTTGTCCCAGAGGCCACCAGAGTCTTTCCTTCCACCCGGAACAGCCCGATGCCCCGCCGGAGCGCTCTTGCCCAAAGCCTGCCGCCCAACTTTTGGGGGTGTCTCGCAGCCCACCCCGGTGTCCCCAGTTACCTCCACGCCCAAGCACTGGCGATCTGCAGGGTCCGAAAAGTGACCCCACCCTGCACACACATGCCCCCTGGACTCTAGTCTCTGCAGTGACTCCGACACCATACTGATCCTCCTCTACTTTCATATCTGACACCCCTTTTGTCCTGCCCCAACACCCCCCCACCAACACAGATTGGACTCAGATTGGCAGCACATGGTGAGAGGGGTTTTCTTTAGGTTAAAAAAGGAAACCAATTGGAAAAGGAAAAAACAAACAAAATAAATAAACCCATCTAGTCCTTTAATTTGGGAGATATCTTTTGTAACAAAGTCTTAAAAGTAAATAAGTGACAAGTGTCCTCCTCCATTGAGCTGCTTTTCCAGGCCACCCTGGTCCCCACTACCACCACTTTGTGCCGAGGCATTTGAGTTTGAGACCCTTGGCCTTTCTGTCCAGACCCTCTCCTCTGGGTGCTGCTGCTTCCAACAAGCACCGCCTGCATTGACCTTTCCCTCTGTGCCTGTAGATGGTCACCATGGGCCAATGTTACTACAACGAGACCATCGGCTTCTTCTACAACAACAGTGGCAAGGAGCTCAGCTCCCACTGGCGGCCCAAAGATGTGGTTGTGGTAGCACTGGGGCTGACTGTCAGTGTGCTGGTGCTGCTGACCAACCTGTTGGTCATTGCAGCCATCGCCTCCAACCGTCGCTTCCACCAGCCTATTTACTACCTGCTTGGCAATCTGGCCGCAGCTGACCTCTTTGCCGGCGTGGCCTACCTCTTCCTCATGTTCCACACCGGCCCGCGCACGGCCCGGCTCTCGCTTCGGGGCTGGTTCGTGCGGCAGGGCCTGCTGGACACAAGCCTGACAGCATCAGTGGCCACACTGTTGGCCATCGCCATGGAGCGGCACCGCAGCGTGATGGCCGTGCAGCTGCACAGCCGCCTGCCCCGCGGCCGTGTTGTCATGCTCATTGTGGGCGTATGGGTGGCCGCACTGGGCCTGGGGTTGCTGCCTGCCCACTCCTGGCACTGCCTCTGCGCCCTGGACAGCTGCTCGCGCATGGCCCCCCTGCTCAGCCGCTCCTACCTGGCCGTCTGGGCCCTGTCCAGCCTGCTCGTCTTCCTGCTCATGGTGGCTGTCTACATCCGCATTTTCTTCTATGTGCGAAGGCGGGTGCAGCGCATGGCGGAGCATGTCAGCTGCCACCCCCGCTACCGCGAGACCACGCTCAGCCTGGTCAAGACTGTTGTCATCATCCTAGGTGAGTGGGACCCCACTTCCCCCCAACTCCTCCAAGACCTGATGGAGTATGATGGAAGGAGATGATTGGGTGGGGAATGTTCTCCAAGGAGGTGATATCTCAGCAGAGACCTGAATGCTGGAGGAGGGAAAAGAGTTCCAGGCAGAGAGAACAAGAAGGCAGGACCAGGCCAGCACCTCCAGAGAGGAGAGGAGGTCAGCACGGCCTCAAAGGGCACAGACGGCAGTCTGATTCAGTCTGATTTTGTTTTGCGTTCCGTGGGAAGCCCTTAAGAGCTTTTAGCAGGAAGTAATGTGGTCACTTGGTCACTCTGGCTGTTAAAATGTAGAATGGCCTTTGTAGAGAAGGTGACAATACACCCCACTGCCACCAAGAACAAGGAGCAGCTCTTCCCAATGATCCCTTTTCGCCACCAAGTAACTGGCCTGTCCCACAGTGACCTCCTTTCCCCCATAGAACAAACCTCCATGTACGCGTAGAAATATCCAGGGCTGGAGCCACTGTGTACCAGATAGGAAAGGTGTCCCCTCCAGCAGACAAATCAGAGAAAGGTGTCCCCTCTTAGCAGTTCTGCCCCATCATGCTGCCAAGGCAGCAAGGCAGGCCACCCTGGCACTGTAAACCACAGCTGCTGTCCAAGCTCTTGATACCCCTCCAGTCCTGAGCTCAGAGCCGTGGGTGCCAGGCCCCCCGACAGCTGACTCTGCTCACCTCAGGTTCCATCCCACAGGGGCATTTGTGGTCTGCTGGACGCCGGCCCAGGTGGTGCTGCTCCTGGACGGTCTGGACTGCAAGTCTTGCAACGTCCTGGCTGTGGAGAAGTATTTCCTACTCTTGGCTGAGGCCAACTCACTGGTCAATGCCGTGGTGTACTCATGTCGCGATGCTGAGATGCGCCGCACTTTCCGCCGCCTCCTCTGCTTTCTGTGCCTGCGCCGGTCCACCCACGAGTCTGCCCGCTATACACCCTCTGCCCGGACAGGTGCCAGCACACGCATCATGCTTCCTGAGAATGGCCACCCATTGATGGACTCCACCCTTTAGCCAACCTTGGACTTCAGCAGGATGCAGCAAGTACCCGATCGCTCCCCTGACAACTCGTGGATGTGCCTGGCTCAACCCAACCTGAGGGACAGAATTCAAGGCAGACCCTTGGTCAGGATGGCACGACACCCCTGCCAGCCCTCCCCAGACATAACTCTACTCCAGGGCCTGTGGGTGTGTGGGAATCTGGCTCTTCAGTGATCTCAGGTTGTGGGGTTTTTAATGAACATTTTTCTGTTTTTACTGCAACATCCTTGGTAAACCCTGTGGATCTCTTCCTTGTCCATGGTGGTGTGGGCGTTAACGGTGGGCGCGATGAGGTCTCTCTCAGGCCACGCTGCCCAGTACGACAAAGACGGACCATGCATGCACCATCTGCCTGAGGTTGAGTCTTCAGAGGCAGAAACTGAGGGGTGCTAAGTGGTAACTAGGAAAGGTTTGTGGCCCCTTGCAGCCTCTCGAGTTTGCCTGTGCCCGTTAGACTTAAGGCTTGTTTCCATGGGGGGAGGGCACGTTAAGGAGTAAACCTTTCTTTCTCCTCTGAGGTCTCCAAAGCACTTTCTGTCCTCAACTCAGTCTGTCGCTGTGTCCCAGAATTGTCCACTTCAGCTTTCGCTGGGCAGAGATCCTTCAACATGGCATCTCCTCAGTCCTGTTCTCATTCATCTTCAGTCTCTGACTGGCTGTCACTCCATCTCTCTTGGAGTCTTGCGTCTCTTCCCTCTTGCCTATCTTCTCCACTTGTTCCCCTGCCTCCAACTTGCCGCCTGCCTGTCTCCATCCTCTGGAACCCAGAGTAGTTTGTGGCCTGTGTGAGTCTTCTCTCTCCCACCTGCCCTTTTATCTGCATCCAGGTTAACAGATAGGTGTGTCCATCCCATTGCATACCACACCTATGGGCCAGAGGTACTGGGGTCCATGGAACAGGGTGCAAATTCGAGTGTTGCCATTTCTCAAGCTTCTCCTGATGTTGCCTGGCACACTGACAGTCATTTTAGGTGCATTATTTATTCATTACCTGCAGGTTTTACACTTATTTTCATGTGAAGACAGTGGCTCAGAGAGGTTGAGATCTGGCCCATGGTTACACAGCTTTGAAAGGGCACAGAGATTACATCGAGGGACTAGAGAGGCCCCTGGGGAAAGGGCTTCAGATTCCCACAAAGTGCGGAGTTGGTCACAAGCTCAGCCTGGTTTTCCCCTCACCTCACTGCCCCCCAAGGCCTCAGACGTGCCATACCCATGATGATGAGCCTTCTCTTTGATAGCTAGGCATGGTGTAGACCAGGATCTGGATTCTCTGCTTCCTCCTAAGGAGGAGACAGGGTTATGTCCCACTTCAGGTTCACACTGAATAACAGTCGAATTTGAACCCAGGCCTTCTATCAGCAGCCCAATTCTTAAACTACTAAAGCATGCATTGCCAAAGAACCAAAAACATCTAGGTCCTTCTACATTAAATGGGGCTGGGATTCCCTTTGGGAAAACCCCCTGCCATGAGGCAGCTCTGTGAGGAAGCAAAAAATGGACTGGGGCACTGGGTACTTCTCCAAGGTCCAAGGTGGGCAGCATGGCCCCTAGGGTCTGGGGCCTGAATCTCCAGAGGTGATGACCCAAGCCAGCAGCTTCCACTATGTGCCCGGGCACATGCCCATGAAAAATGCAGTCCATGCCTCCGTGGAGCTCTGGGCTTGTTAGGCAGACATGTCACTTTGGGGACCGAGGCAGCCAACCAACTCTTACGGCTTCCAAAAGGCAGCTCTGCTTTTATCTGCTCTGAGCTGACTCCTCCTGCAGTCAGCATCCTCCAGGTTCTAACACACATTCCTTAAATATCCTTTGGGAGTTTGTCCCATCAGTTTTTCCCTCTCTTGTAGGTCTCTCTTCTCTAGCGGGTGACTTCAAGTATACGTCTCTGCTGGTCCTTGAAGCTTTCAAACACCTACCCCCCCACACTTCATTCTCTGAAGGACACCAAAGTTACCCACTATTTTCAGGCCTCCTGTGCAAGTGCTGTGCCAGCCAGCTAGCTGACATTTTCATACAGGGCATCCGCTCTCTATGGTGCCCACATGTACTAGTACTTCCTGTTACTGGGGCCAAGTGTAGGGTTTCCTTTGTTAGGGAGCTTTCAAAGTTGTTCTTACACTGGCCCACATCACTTATTTCCAATCCCTGCTGTCTCTTTTGGAGTCCCCCAATCAAATCACACCAGATGGTTATTGCATTTCTTCAGCAGCGATGGGAAGATGGACTCTGCCCAAAAGAGTTGGCAGCCAGGCGGAGGACTGTTTCTGAGCCTCCATCTGGAGTCGGCCCTCAGAGCAAACAAGCTCAAGGTGGTCCCATGACTTTGGAGAAGTAATTTGTGTCCAGTTTGTTCCTTTTCACTCGCACAAGAAGCTGCTGTCTTGGGGTGCACCACAGAGTAGTTCTTCTGGAAGCATCCATTCATTCGGTAACCAAGTGCTAGAGTTTTCTAGGCCTGGAATGCTGCGAAGAGAATGAATAAAAGAGAGGTCACGTTTAAGTCAGATCTTGAAAGGTGAATAGAACTGACTTATATAGCTGAGAAAATCACTAATCTAATCTCCCAACCACCGTCACCACAAACCTGTGCCCCTCATGGAAATCTCCCAGGGAAGATCCAGGAGGCTGGAAGCCCTAGTGACCCACCTGATGGGACTGAGGCTGAGGGGAGCACTAGGGGATTGGGCAGGAGTCTGGGCCTCGGACTTTTGGAGATGAATGGGGTGTTCTGATGGGGTTTTGAGAGCCATGGGAGGCTCTGAGAAGGAAGGAGTGGCTCTGAGGAAGACTGGGCTGCTCTGAGAAGGGGGACTCAGGAGATGTGCCGGTCTCTGAGGAGCGGGAGGCTCAGCTATGAGGGCCTCAGAAAAAGTGGGGGCTCTGAGGAGGAGTGAGGTTCTGAGTAGGACCTGCCGCTCTGAGATGCAAGAGGTGGATATGTGGGAATGGGGGCCTCTGAAATGGGGCGGAGCCAGCGTCGCCCTCTGTAGGGCTGGAGGAGGGTGGGAAGTGCCGTTGCCTTGGCAACTCGTCTCCGAGTCCCGGGCTGCTGAGGGCAGCTGTTAGGGGCGTGTCCATGGGCGGTGCGCGGCGGCCTAGTAGGCGGCAGAGGCCCGGCCCAGGCGCGCGCAGAGCTCGGGGAGCGGCGACGGCGGTTGGCTACGGCGCGAGCGCGTGCTCCAGGCCCGGCGGCTCCTCCTCAGCGCCCGCCCAGCCCCGCCGCCCATGGACGACCCGCCGCGTCCCGCGCTGCCACCCCCCGCCCCGCGCCACCCGCCGCCCAGGCCCCCACTGGGCCCTGACACGGGCGACGTCCTGCAGCAGATCATGGCCATCACCGACCAGAGCCTGGAGGAGGCGCAGGCCAGGTGCTGCGCCGGGGCGGGGAAGGGGGCCACTCAAAGTGGAGGCCGTGAAGGGGGCGGGCCTCGGGGCGCCAGGGAGGCGGGGATGTGTGAAGCTGAGGAGAGGGCTGGGCGAGATTGCGGGGTGCATCTTTGAGCCGGGAGGGCAGAGGTAGGGGGGCTGGAGGAGGACAACGAAGGTATTTTTGGGGTTAAAATGGAACGGGTTGAAAGGCTTATGGGGCTAAGCAGCGGGAAGTGGGTTTTAGGAGCTCATCTTGGGGCAAGAAGGTTTAAGGGGAGTTTGTAGATGGGGAGGTTTATGGTGAAAGGTGGTTTTGGGGTTTATGGAGCGTAAGGGGATAAGAGGAGTGTTGAGGGGGTGTAAATGAATGGGTTAGTGGGATTCATGAGGGTGGGAAGTTTTGAGGGCAGATAAAGGAGAGTGAGTTGTGGGATGAATGGGACTTGGGAATGAAGAGATGGGTGCCTCGGTGTGGGAACCACCAGGAAAAGGGGTTAGTGGGGGAGCTGGATGAAAGTGGAGGACCCCTTTTTTAATTAATTTGGCAAATATTTATTAGAACTGTATGCAGAACACCTAGCTGGGTGCCGTCTTAGTCGCTGTTCTCAAGCTCATAGTTTAAGGGAGAGAGCGTAAGGGCAAAAAACTAAGTATAAAATTGTGAGAAAAGCTGTAATAAGGTAAGGGATGGCACGCTGTGGAAGCCAGCTGGAGAAGGCACAGCACCTTCAAAGGCCCGGAGGTGGGAAACAGCAGAAAGAAAGCAGAGCCAAGGACTGAAAGTCCCCAGTTGAGTCTGGAGAGAACCTGGAACCAGATCACACTGGGCCTACAAGTCTCAGAGTTTGAGGGTTTTTTTGTTTTGTTTTTGTTTCAGTTGCAACGGGAAAATTACAGCAGTGTTAAGACCAGTGTCCCACTTGCCTCCTCTCACCACTGTCAGCCAGCCAGCCAGGATTGGTAAACTTAACAAAGGCAGCACGTTGTGTTTGGGACCTGCTGGAATTATTAGAAAAGAAGAAAGGACCCAGGTCCTTTTGGAGGATGAGACCTTATTGAATGGGGGCTTGTTTGAAGGAGAAGGATGATCTCTGGGAGGGGCCAGGGTCTGGTGATGTGGACTGTGCGGTCATTAGAGCCCTGTAGTGAGGAGGGGTTAAAAAGCCAGTTGAGGGCCGGCCGAGTGGCATGTTGGTTAAGAGCTGGCTTGGGACGCCAGAGGGCCCCGGTTCGGATCCCACATATGAGGGCCAGGACACTGCCCTCCACAGCTAAGATGCTGAACAACAGCTCAACCTGGAGCTGGGCAGCAGTGAGTCGCCGGCGACGTAGGCTGCAGCCCCTGTGGCAGTGGGTTGCCATGGGCTACCGTATGCAGCCAGCAGCCAGCGTGAGCCAGCAGCCAGCGTGAGCGGCCAGCAGCCGCAGTGAGCGGCCGTCCAGAAGCTGGCGACTGATCTGCCTCGCCAGGGAAGAGCACAGTGATGGTGCCAACTTGGGCCAGTGAAGCAACGTCCTCCACAACTAGGCTGAAGAACAAAACGACAGCAACTTGTCTGTTCCCCTTCCCCCAATTCCGCAGCACTGTTCCCATCCCCTCAATTCCCCAATAAAAATCTTAAAAAAAAAAAGTGCGAGCTCTGAGCAAGAGACCTGCCAGTTCGATTAAAAAAAAAAAAAGCCAGTTGAACAGCAGCCCCAGTAAAGAGGAGGTAAAGTAAAAGGTGGATATGGCATTCATTTGTTCTTCATACTTTGTTTTCTTTGCTCTTGTGGAATGTCAACTCTTTTTTTTTTTTTTAAGATTTTATTGGGGAATTGGGGGAGGGGAACAGACAAGTTGTTGTCCTTCAGTCTTAGTTGTGGAGGGTGCAGCTAGCTCAACTCCAAGTCCAGTCGTCATCCAGCGGCCCGTTTGCAGCTTGCAGCCACTCAGCTCAAGATGCCGTGTTTAATCTTAGTTGCGCATGGGCGTAGCCCACCATCCCATGTGGGAGTGGAACTGGCAACCTTGTTGTTAGGAGCATGTGCTGTCACCAGCTGAGCCATCCCGTCACCTGTTGGCAGCTCAGCTCCGGCACAGCTCACTGGCCCATGTGGGAATCGAACTGGCAACCCTGTTGCTCAGAGCTCATGCTCTTAACCAACTGAGCCACTTGGCTGGCCCTGGAATGACAACTCTTTCTGCAGATTCATAACCTCTGCCTGAAAGTTAAGAGTGTCACCCCACCACCACATTCACTCTTTTTGGAGCATTGTGCTAGGTGCTAGATGTTCACTGCCCTCTTGGAACTCATTGAGAAGTAGGGTGTGTGGGGGACTAATTTATAAATAATTGTCATATCAAGAGTATGCTGAGTAGAGGTAATTCTGGGCACAAAAGAGCTGGGCTGGGAGAGGGTTCCTTTGTGTGATGCCCTGTTTGCTAGGCTAGTCTGAGAGCAGTGGCTTTGTTGTACTTTCATTTGTATTCCCAGAGCTGAGTACAATAGCTTTCATAAAGTTTTTTGTTTGTTTGTTTTTAATTGTGGAATTGGGGGATGGGAACAGCGCTGGGGAATCAGGGGAAGGGGAACAGACAAGTTGCTGTCGTTTTGTTCTTCAGTCTAGTTGTGGAGGACGTTGCTTCACTGGCCCAAGTTGGCACCATCATTGCGCTCTTCCCGGGTGAGGCAGATCAGTCGCCGGCTTCTGGACGGCTTCTCACGGTGGCCCTTGGCAACTCACACCGGCTGCCAGCCGCTCACGCTGGCTGCCAGCCACACACAGTAGCTTATGGCAACCCACTGCAGTAGGGGCTGCAGCCTACGCTAGCGCCGGCGACTCACAGCAGCCCAGCTCCAGGTCGAGCTGTTGTTCAGCATCTTAGCTATAAGATGGCAGTGTCACTGGTCCCAATGTGGGATCCGAACCAGGATCCTGCTGCTCAGAGCTGGCGTCCCAAACCAGCTCTTAACAAACGCGCCACTCGGCTGGCCCCAGCTTTCATAAAGTTTTGTTGCACTTAGGTTCTGTAAGGATTAGCAGGATGTGGGTGAGAGGGAAATGGGCTCTTCACACACAGGAACCACAGAGGCAGTGCTCTTTGGTTTGTGGAGCTACCTCTGTTTCTTCTGTTTGTGGACAGAAAAGGGGCCACATGTTAAACCTGAAAAGCTTAGGAGACTGAAAGTAACCAGAGGATGGTGTGAACATAAAAACTCCTAACTAAAGTGGGCCATGGCAGGAAGTCACATCTCTTGAGCTTCCTCATTAAATTAATCTGTGCCTTTTCAGTGGGCCTGTTCTTTGTCTTTTTGTACCTAAAATAACATCTTTAATCCTCCCCCCCTCCCCACCAGAGCTGGAAACTGCAAAATTCCTCATTATCATGCTTGTCTCCTGATTACCATCTCTATGTGCTGTAAAGAGCGAACTGTTACCTATCCTGCACCCACCTGTGTGGGAGGAGTACCTGTCTCTCCAATGTACTTTTATCCAATCCCAAAGATTTTCCCGCTTTGCTTTCTCCTACCCCCTTAATCTATCACCGATAGATTTCATGTAACCTTCCTCCTTTGATTTTATGTATAAAATAAACTGCAAACTGCCATTTTGCAGAGCATTTTCTCAATCCGTTGAGATATTGCTTCCCGGCAATTGTCGACAGTTTGGCTCAAGTAAACTCTTATAAGTTTTCTCTTAAGCTGGATATTTTTCGTCAACATGTTCGAGGGGGAGAGTTGCTTAACCAGTGAGCTTTGCCCAGCTGTCACCTTCCTCAAGCACCTGTCACCGCAGCACAGCCACGGCGAGGCTGCTGTTTTCCTGTAGCAATCTCTTCAGGCTGCACTCGATAGGCTTTAGAATAAAATGCAGTGAGTCACCTCTTCCTTGCTGTTCTTGAATACAGCTCTTTTTTTTTAAGGCTAAGAAAGTGAATAGCAGGGCATTATACATGCTGACAACATGGCTGTTAGATTGCTGGTCCTTGGTTTCTTTCTGTGATAGAAAGACTCCCTGGGGCTTTTATGTTGAGACTTGGAAGCTTCAAATCTGCCCCTCTTCATTGGCTGTAGCTTTTAGATGAACTCTAGGCTCTAAAAGTCCCACAACAGTCTTCAGTCCTCAGGTGGGCCACTTATACCACTGTGGAGAAAACAGCTTGGGTGGATCTTTTCCTCAGTAAACTCTGCAGCCTGGTTAGATAACCAACCTGTGATAATACACACGCACACGCACACGCGCGCGCCAGCAGATTGTCTCTCCTGGACAGCTGACTGGGTGAGACCTTTGCAAGTCTTTCTTTTTCTTTTTTTTCTTTTTTTAAGATTTTTATTGGGGAATTGGGGGGATGGGAACAGACAAGTTGCTGTGGTTTCGTCCTTCAGTCTAGTTGTGGAGGACGTTGCTTCACTGGCCCAAGTTGGCACCATCATTGCGCTCTTCCCGGGTGAGGCAGATCAGTCGCCGGCTTCTGGACGGCCGCTCACTGCGGCTGCTGACCGCTCACGCTGGCTGCTGGCTACATACGGTAGCCCATGGCAACCCACTGCCACAGGGACTGCAGCCTACGCCGTTGCTGGCAAATCACTGCAGCCCAGCTCCAGGTTGAGCTGTTGTTCAGCATCTTAGCTGTGGAGGGCAGTGTCACTGGCCCTCATATGTGGGATCTGAACCGGGGCCCTCTGGCGTCCCAAGCCAGTTCTTAACCATCGCGCCACTTGGCCGGCCCCTGCAAGTCTTTCTGACCCTGCCTTCTCACAATGCACTTTGCCAACCCCTGCTGTCCCTGGAGTCAGTTTAGCTCAACTGGCTAGCAAGAAAGAATTTTACATCTCAGCTGTGAGGCCCGCTCAACCTGTTTTGTCACCATAAGTGTATTTAAAGAAGGAAAGCACCCTTACTCTCCTTAAACCTTGATTCTTTTTTTTTTTTAATTGGGGAATTGGGGGAGGGGAACAGTGTTGGGGAATCGGGGAAGGGGAACAGACAAGTTGCTGTCCTTTTGTTATTCAGG